AGCAAGGAGTACTTTACAGGGTCCAACAAACTGAGCTCTGTACTGTATGTCTGAATCTTTCTTCTGTTTGCTGTCTGACATCATGTAGCTCAGCATGACTTGTCTACTTCTCCAAATAATGGCAGAAATAAAGCAACAGATTGATGCTGTTTTGGTTTGGGTTTTTATCTTCCTCCTTCACACAGCCTATAACTCATAAGAAGAATGAAAGTCCATGGACAGAGACATTTGTGTTTTTTGGAAGGTAAGCACTGGGTTCAGAGGTTTCAGGACCTGGAAAGGAAACAAAAGTGAAAACGGCATTCCAGAGGAGCAGATTCTCTCTCTTTTTTCTCCTGCCAAAACCTCTTGAGTATCACTTGCCCATCGGTTAAATACTCCATTGGCCATTCTTGAATTCCTCAGTTTCTGGGTATCCACCTTAAGACCTGTGGTCAGTATTGAATATAGAAACTCTGCTGAAAGCAGATAGAGATCTACTTGAAGCAAGTTGAAAAATTATGCATTATGTGTCTTCAAACTGCATGCCCAAAATCAGCAAGACAATTCCCTAATTTTTGCCCTACTGTCATATCTTACATCTTAACTATAATATTGGAATAAACAAAAGGTCAAACTCTCCCAAACTTGAAATTTAGTAAAGCACTACAACAAGACCATTACAGAAACTTCCAAGAGAGTTTAATCTGTTAAAAGATGTGGATATAATTTGCTAGATATTTCATGAGTGCTCAGAATCAGTGAGGAGGATGAAAAGAAATAACAAACAATTACTTTCTAAGAACAGATGTGAAACAAATGAAACATGATCACATGATGAAACGCATAAAGAGGTTAAACCAATCTGCTCATGAATTAGTCAGCATTTCTAAAATTTTGGATTCTTTTCTGCCCCGCTATTCTGTTCCACTATCGTAATTGCATAAGGTTATTTCCCAACAAAGAAATAAAAGTTCTGAATATATATAAAATTTCACTGTTTTTTCTTTAATTGTCATTTCAGGTCATTCAGGTCATCAATAGTGCTCAGCTTCACAAACAGGTCTCTACTACAGGGGTGCTGCTGAGAGAATATTAACCAGTTCTGGGTGACTGTGGTCAGAGCTGGCAGGGATGGTATCCCACTTGGTCTCCTCCATTTCTCCTGCTATTCAGACAGGAGTGCTTTGGTCCCAGCCTAAGCAAGATAAACAAGCCATATTCAAAAGATGGAGAAAGGAAATACTGCAGAAATTCCTGGGATTTATTTGTTTTAAGAGGCAGTTATATGCTTGCAGAACTACTTTAATTATGGCCCCCTTTCCAACCATTTGAGCTAAGTGACTCTTAGCAGTCACTTAGTGCTGTCCCCACACCTGTGGACCAACTGCTTCAGGGGAACATGATGTGCTTTGTCAGTGAATTTCAAAATCTTTGCTGAAATGCAGAAACACACAAAAGGTCAAGAAGATACTCTAGTTCTGTTCTGTGTTCCTACAGTTATAAACGTCTGTGCTCCAGTCTTTTCTAATACTTCTTCTTAGACTTGTACAAAACCAGGCAAAACCAGGCTAAACTTTTCCCCAAAAGTCTGCTCAGGAAAATAATTATAGGAACCATATGAGACCCAAAAATAACAATCTAGCAAAGTAGAATAAAGTCAAACCAGAGTCTATATTACAATAGAAAATTATAGGCTCAACGTGAGGCACAATCATTACAATTTGTAATAGGGCAAACAGATTTGCAAAATAAAATGAGCTTTTACACATTTTATGTTTCTCTACACTGACAGTTTTTTGTCTAACAGCTCTCTGTGGGACCTCTGGCAAACCCCACTTTCACCAAAGAGGAAACATTTCAGAGGATCAGTTTTGTCCTGTACTCTAACAGCAGCATTGTCCAGATTTTGTTAGCTATCCAAAGCAGTCATTTTATAAGCCACCTTCAAAAATTTCTGAATTATTTTTTTCCAACATTTCTATTTTTAAAATATTTTCAGTGCACCAGAATTTCAGACTAAGGGGAACATAAGGCAAACAAAGGCCGTGTAACACATCCATTATTGCAGAATGAGCAATACAAAATCCAATATTTCATCCTTCACGGGAGACCATCTATTTTTCACTCAGCAATAAATTAAACTTTGATTTTCTTGTTTCACTTCTCTTTACCATGCCTGGTGTGCTGATGTGTCAAGAGAATTTGCCTTTTTTGAAGTTTTCCTGACAGCGTTACAGAACCATCTTCTCTGGAGCACCTTTCTGAAAGTTGTTCTGTTTTAAAACCCTTTTTATACTATACCAATTTTGCTACTTCTGCAAAAAATATTACTCGCCTGAGGGTTTTTATTCTTCTTTCAGTCATGCTGCCAGGGGGCTGATTGTTTCTGATTGCTGAAGTCAACACTCACTGAAAACAGACTATTCAAGCTGAAAAGGATTTCACATGGGAATGGTAGGTTTTCCAGTCACCTTACTTGTCTATATTATTTAGTAACACAGTTCTATGTGATGGAGATTATAAAATCATTTGATCTGGCTGCATTGACACTCTGGGCAGAAAAATAATTTTATTGTTTCAGATTCTGGAATGCCAGTCACAGAAGAAAGCATTTGACCGCTTAGTAAAGAGTGAAGTGTAAATCATGCAAATAGAAATATAGGTGATATACATATATAGATCCCTGAAAACCAAGTTATCAGTGCCAGAATTTCTCACAAGTCATTTAACCAAATTTTCTTGTTTATGCTAAGTAACTTGAAAAAAGGTTCTATATTAAACTTGATGTGAAGACCACTAGAAATCCTTTGTACATTAACAACAAAAAAATCTCAGCCATTAGACATTAAAATGCCCACTGTATCACTTATATAATTTTCTCCCCTGTGAAGAATTTTTCCTACATTGTATTACCTACTGTTTCACTGCCTCAGGCAAGAGGGTTTCATCCATTTCCTGCACCAGACCGAAATGTGCATAATACACTGACGTATCTGAACCTAAAACAGCGTTACTTAGATAAGTGAATTCAAGAATGAGTGTAAAGATGATGAGTAAAGTGTGCCATCAACTTCCAACTATACTTTTACTTTCTTTTACCATTTATCAGAGCTTCAGCACATGACTGGGTAATTCTTCCCTTTTTTTTTTTTTTCTCAATAAATTTTTTTGCCTTTCAAAAACTTAGGGACTTTCAAAAAGAGTGGTCGGCTGCTATATGATAGTAACAGATGTCTAATAAATTACTCCCTGTATTTAAAGAGTAATGATGTTCCTGGTCTAGGCACAGTATGGGCTGCATGATGTGAGGTTGGAAAAGAAAAGAGTAAAAGCGATCTGTTTCTGTACCAGCACTGAGACAGTGCTGCAGCCAACACCTGTCCGAGCATACTGATTTTGAGATTTTTTTGTGCAAACATTCATCTAAGTGTGGATCAAAAGCTTAAAGAACTAAAGAAAACCAGAGCTAGAAGAGACTGCAAAAAAACTATGCAGTCAGTCCCTCTTCCATAACCAAGAGTTGCTTCAGGTATGCCATCACTGACATCACTGTCTAGCCTATTCTTATAAACCTTCGAAGATGGAGGTGCCACATACGTCCCAGGTAATTTTTTCGAGAGCCTCACTATTCCTAGTATTGAGAAGTTGTGCCTCATTTGGCACTGCTGGGATTAGCCCATTATTCCTTTTCTAATATCTAGGGAGAATATCTTGCTCCATTCTTCCTTGTGGTAGGTTTTTACATACTCCTAGACACTTTGCATCTTCACCCAAACGTCCTCCTTCCAACTAAACAACCCAAGTTCTTCCCTTAAGCCAGGGACCTCTCATCATTTTCCTGTTTTACTGCTGGATCCTCTCTTGAAAAGAATATACCTGAAAAATGTTTTCTACACAGGAAAAAGTATATGGGTTCTGACAGAAAAGGTTAAAGCAATTACAAGTGCTCTGATAGAATGTTTAACTGGAACAACAAAAACTAAAGTAAAATACCCTGAAAAGGTTCATAAATACTAATGTAGCAGCAACGGGAGTCAACCTCATTCAGCAAGATATCATGGTCATTTCACAGTTGAAGTAAAATTGATTAATCAGGCATTGGCCTAGGGATGAGAAAACTGAATCACATCAAAGATGGGAAGATTAGACTGAAAGAAGATTTTTGAGTTGGACAAAAACATTCTGGAGGAAAGAAGTACATGAGCTAGCAAGAGAATGCCAGATAAAACAAGCAAAATAAAGATAATAGGGTTCCAGAAATGCACCTAGAAGCCTGTACAAAGGATTATCAAAACATCTGTGATTGCCAAAACTCTTGAAAAGATAATAAATAAGTAAATAAATAAATAAATAAGTGATGTGGAGGGAGAGGAGGGGGTGGGACCAAAAGCAGACAGCCACATAGAGGCACAGCTGAGAAAGAAACAGAGGAGCTACACAGAAGAAACAAAGAGGTTTTCCAGTATCTCTTTCAGAAATTTTGCCACAGGAATCAAGAAGGACAAACGATATTTCATACCCTATTTCAAAACAAAAATACTGGAATGAGTAGATACTGCCTTCTTGTGCAGCATCTTTCTGGTCTTGTTTTCTACTTCTACTGTAAGTCTGAACCAGCCCAGTTTCCAGGTTTTTTGCCCAGAGCCTTAAAAGCAGTAACATCAGCTCTTCTAAACATGCACAATTTGTTAGAGAGTAAACACCTGCCTGAACACACCGAAACAGAGCAGACATTTGAGAAATATCCTCAAGCTTTTGGGGCAAATCTATTTTGACAAAGAGACACCAGGGAGCTAAGACAGTTTAAGAGTGCACATGTACATGATCCTCAGTATGATCCCCAACACAGTTTGCATATTTAATGTCACAGAAAAAACTTGAGCTTGATGATGAATGTTCAACTGGAAATACCATGAGTCCCATTTTGAGATTCAGGTTTGTGTAGAAGAATCCACTTACGCATGTTTTACTGTAAACGGATAAAAATTAATATATGCAAATTCAGAAATAGTGATTACCTCAGAGCAGCAGTTTTCCCATTTCTGTGAGTACATGTGACCTGCCTTGTTTGGTACCCAATTTGTATGTCCCAATATTTGTTCTCCTGTCTATTCTGCCTGTTACGATTCCTCTTCTTCTTAATTAACTCACGAGCCTCAGGGTCTCGAACTGCCTTTTCTCTGTCCTTTTCCTTGTCTTTGTTCTTCCCTCGTTTCCTTGCTTGCCTTATTTGTCTTGAATGGGGCACTGAGCATGAGCTCCAGGGTCCCACATTTAGACTATACAGGCTTTCTTCAACAGCGCATGGGCTAGACTGACAGATCTGAAATTCGGTGAGGTTGGGACAAGCAGACCCACCGAACTGCGGTGGAGCCACAACGTGCCGAGTTCGATGCTGAAGTCCATTGCCACAGGTCTTTGAGCATTCCGACCAGGGGGAGAATTCGGCCACGATGCAGTCCTGCCGGCATGGGATGAGGCATGCCTGCTCCTGCCGCGGCTTCGGCTCAAAGTACTCACAGATGACATCCTCAGCTGGAACCCCATTGGACTTCTGTATACAGGTGATGTCCCTTGTCTGGATCCCTTCCTCCCCTCTGAGGCATTCCAGGGGCTTCTCGTGGCTGCGGGAGAGGACAGGCCGGCACTGGTTCCAGTTGCCGATCTGCCAGTCATACAGTTCCTTGTGCCAGTCACAGACCCGAAAACAGCTCTGCTGGTTGTCCGGCCGCTCTGGCTGCTTGCAGTTCGTGGGCAGGGTGGTCCAGCCCTCCACATGGGCACACCACACCGCTCGCGTCTGGATGCCTCCTGGACCGCAGTCATCTCCCATGCATCTCCCCCATGGACCTGAAAAACAAGAAAAGATGCTTACATTGCACACTTAAATTATTTTTCTGGCACAGTGCAAAAGCAAGCTCACAGCATTTACTGTATCTCTAAGAATTTAATTCTTGGAGAAACTCAAACTTGAAAAACGCAAGGATGGGATGACTCTTCATCTCCTATTTTTATGATTATGGATACATTTCACTTTTTATCCCAGACAAAGTGAATATTTAGTTTCTAGAACATACACAGAAATTAATCTCATTAGAGAACTAAGAACTGAGCAACCACAAATTCATCACCTAGTTTTGACTACTAAGGTAGAAACCAAAGCTCTCCCCCCCAAGGCATGAATCTGATCTCTCTCACCTGCTTGAATACCCCTTCCTGGACTGTTTTGATTTTGTGTTGCATTTCTGTTGCACTACACTTTACACCCTGATGCCAATTAATATCATGTTCTTTTCCTTTTCTATTGTATACAAAAATGAAAACAACACCACAATACATTTTGAAAAACACTGGTAACACAAGTAGACTACTTCTAGTCTTTACTATAACTAAAATAAAAGTTAAAAGCCACGTAAAAATGTTTGTTTCACACAACCTGTGATATCATTATAGAACAGAATAAGTTCTTGAAGACAGAGACATACCAGCTGGTAACTCTCCAAAGAACAGAAATTACTGAATCACAGACTCGTAGAATACTAGGTTGGAAGGGACCTCAAGGATCATCTGGTCCAACTTCACTTGGCAAAAGCACAGTCTAGACAAGACAGCTCTGTACCCTGTCCAGCTGAATCTTAAAATTGTCCAAAGTTGAGGAATCCACCACTTCTCTGTGAGATTATTACAATTGCTGATTATTCTCATTGTGAAAAAGTTTCCTCGTTTCCTCTTGTGTCCAATCAGAATATCTGCAGGAGTAAGTTATATCTAGAAGTAACTGGTACCCATTGCTTTTTTAAATCTCCAAGGTCCAATGGTAAATACTCAATATGCAATGTCGTTATAATAAACGCCAACAGAAATCAATAAAACCTATATCCTTGAAAACTGATGTAGTTGTTTTTTTCATTATTCACCCAGTTCAACCATGAAATCCACAAATCAGAGGGTAAAAAGCCCTATATTTTTCAGGTTTTTTAAGACCTCCACTCATAAACATTGTGCATTGACTTACTGTATAAGAGCAACAGAACAAACAGTTCAGAAAAACCCCTCTAATCACTTATCAAAGAAAATCTGTCTATCTGCAGACACTTAATCACACAGAAGACATTTTCTCTGACTAAGGACTCCTCATGTTCTACGAAGAAACTGGGGCCAGGCCACACAATCTTCATTCATCTGACTGACCCCAGTAACAAGACTATTTGTGTAAGTAAAAGCTAGGCTGAGCCTTTGCTATTTCCAAAGCAGGTTAACGGCATAATTTTAGTACTGCACAAGAAAAAGTAAATGAACTATGAAAGATACAAATTATTTACAACATGTTCCTTACTGAATGACTGGGAGGAATATGAAGCCACATCTTATTACTGATTCCCATGAGCTTTAAAACTCTCATTGACTTCAACACAATTTTCATCTTATTAACTTCAGTACCAGTTTGGGAATGGGCTGGTGACAGGCCATACACTTAGCCTCTGCTCCTCATTGTTTCTTTTTTAAATGGATACTGTGCCTGCACAGTTTGTTTTAGTTCCAAAACCCTAAGTGTGCACACTAAATAGAAATGCCAGCTGGCAGACTCAGCCCATGGAAACTCTGCCATACATAATTTTGAATTATGGTTTCCAAGATTCAGCTATCTATCCAGAAAAATGAATGTATATTAAATACAAACACATTTCAGTTTTCATTTCAGCAAGATTGCACTACTTTATCTCTAACCAGCCTTCCATGAATTATATAATCATTGTTGTATTTAATTAGGTATTTACACTGAGTTGAGAGATATAATTTCTTCAAAATACCACCTTGAACACTTGCCAATTTTTAAAGAACAAAGGCTGCAGAGAATCTTCAACAAGAGCGAGATACAAAAAATAATTATGATTGAAAAAAAGCTAAATTTTTATCTTGCACACTTCAAATTTCTGTCTTACCAGGTCACTACACCTGGTGTAGTTCACCAGGTGTGTTCAGTGTATTCTGTGAAGAAATCCCTCTTTTTAAAGACCAGGTCTTTAATCCAGATGAAAAATTTACTCATTTGGGATTCTATCAAATTTACAGTCATCAATAATCCGAGAAATACATTGTACCTAAAAATTGTGCTTGCAAGTCAAAGCATCTTCAATCCAACTCTTGGGCAGGTTTCTACTAATGCAAATGTTAAAAATCTCGGCCTCAATGCAATAAATACTGCCTTTGGCAACTTAAATACGAACAAAAAGCCTGCATGTGACTGTGAAAACTGGGCAAAAATAAGCTCTTTCATTAGATTACAAGTGTGCTGTTTATAGAACTGAATACAAAATAATGATGAGGGGCACAGGTGGGATCATGTAGTAAATTACATTATTTTGCTTGTGCTGTGAAGTAGCAAGCCATTTTATAAAAGCATTACCAGTGAGTACCAACAAACCACATTTACATGGACAAACAGCTACTCAGCAATTCTATGTTCATGTGCATGTTGACACAAAACTAAGCAATGTATCTGACCTTCCCTCCTATCTACATTAGGTTGATTTTTAATTTTAAATACAAAATAACCCATTTAGAGACTACGACTGCAAGTACTCCAAAAGCATAAGTATTATTGCATACTTCTTTATATGACTATGACAAGGTCTAAAAGTGAACCACAGCTTTGGGGTAGGTATCTGTTTAGGTTTTGTCCTTAGTGAGCTTCCTCAAAAAACTAAAGTGCTTCCACACGACCAAATCAAATTTTATTTGCTCAGAAAGTTAAAACTTGTGGAGGGAGGAGGTGTTAAAGAAAAAAAAGTTGAACAAAAGGGCAGAAAACAAACAAACAAAAAAATAGTTATATCTATCTAGCAATATGCACATGTGTGTACACATATATATATCTTCCCTGCCCTCTAAGCCTCTGTGCCTCCCTACCAGTGAATTTAAATTGTAGCAAACTGTCCTGTATCTCCAGAAATCCCTCTGGCCTTGCAGTCTGGCCACCTACTCCCTGCCATATCCTCCACTTGCTCAGACTTTTTCTCTTTTCTATGCGATCTCCCCCACCTTCGTAAAAGGCTCCACGAACTATTTTTTAAAAATATGTCACATAAAGAACACATAGGGAAAAAAAAAAAGTTGCTTGTGCTGCTTTTAACCTGAAAAACTTTAAACACAAAACCAAAAGAACTTTTCTGTATGTCTATGTGATAGAATCAGTGGTGAATGTTTGGTTTTTAATGCATGCTTTAATATGTGCAGGAACAAAAAACCTGTAACTGGTACCATTCTTCACAACTAGCTACATTTCTCTTTGGGGTTAGGGAACATATAGAAAAATAAAAAAAAATAAAGGAAAAAATCCTAACCCTAACAATTCCACACTCAGTGCTCCTTTAAAATAAGAGTTTCAAATTAACTTCCAATGAATTAAGTTCAAAATACCTACCCAGTAATTTCATCAGCTTAATTAACTCATTTGTCTTATTTAGGGTGGAGAAGAGGAATTGCAATTGTGTTTTTTCTTTAGTTTTTAAAGAATAAAATAATTTGATGTATTTCTAGTTATATGAACAGAAACTTGTTCTGACCAAAATTATTCTGAGAAATACCTTTTTTATGTTTTCTCTTTTAAAAACAATTTCTGGAACCTACATTAACCAATATTTCTGTCATCTTTCAGTTGCACACTTTGAAATCTTCAGTTCAATTACACACATTTCCTTGTAGAAACACAAGTCACTGTTTTTAACCTCAAGCACTTGCTGAGGAACGTTGTTGCCATACATTCTTTATGTGGACCTCACAGAGAGAGAGAGAAGCTCCTCTCCAATTTTTTTTACAGTTACCCATCTCTCTCTGCCATTTATCAAGAGTCTACAGTAATGCACTTCTAATTTAAGAGGTCCCAAAGACATTGCAAGCATCAAGGCAAGACATGGTTTTCATTTAAAAATAATCATAAAAAAAAAGGAAAGTAAATGTCTCTGAACTGAGTAAAGGGGCTTTGTGATTTTAAACAAACAAACAAACAAGAAATAAATCTGAAAGTATTCTTAATCCACTGTCATTTTTTTCTCATTGTAACAGATAGAATAAAAAGTACCTAGCACACCCTTACAATATTTCTTTGCCTGCTGGTCAAGACATTACTGAAGATAAATGATGAAAAAACAGTAAAGGTAGAGCCTTCAAATGTTCCTTAAAAGTATAGGACAACCACCTAAAGATCCCCTGCAACATGCTCTGTGTATTATATCATTATTATGTGTAGTATACTTAGCACTGTATTTGTAAAACTGAAATTTTGGGATAAAATTAATGTCACAGAAACTAATGTAGCACTGATACGCAACTCAGAATGAAAGAGATCAGCAGAAGGCAGTACATAGACTCATCCACCACCCTAACTTAAAGGCTGCAGGACATAGTGAGTGGCTGGCTGCTCTTTCACAAATCCTCAGCTGATGTCAAACACTAGTAACAACAAGAATGTATTTAGGAAAACTGTCAAGCCTAATCAAGGCCTCATATGATATTTTAATTTGCTCTTTATGAATATTCTTTAGGTTCTCTCCCATTGAAACAGTCTTCACACAGACACTCTGCACTCCCTGCTGTATCCAGTTACGCCTTGCCAATGGGATCTACATGCTCTCAAACCATTTCACACTGGGGAAAAAAGGCTGCTGCTGTGAATGCAAAGTAGTTTTTCTCTGGATTTTGTTTTAGAGATATTTAGATGAACGAATCATAGTTTGCCTGTAGCGAGTTGAACTTGTTTCATGAAAATACTATCGTTTATCCACTCTAACTAATCAGCACATTACAAATGGTAATTACAGAAATAAATAGAAAGCTTGCTGCTTCTTGTT